TGGTAGTTGGGGTAGAAACTCAGTCAGCATTGTATTAACTAATTATTTTTCACTGTCATGCTCAAATGAAAGTTTCTTTTGCTTTAATGTTTGGATAGAACTATGATATTGTGTAGCTTTGTGCTCTGACCCTGAAGAATCTTTTGTGTGATGATATTTATTAGATCAGTTACAAGCGGTTATCTATTTTTCTTTTCAGGAACACAAAAATATATATATGAAGGCCCAGATATGGTGGAAAAGTGCCATGAGTCAGTCATCAGCGCAATGAAGCTTGCATCTACAAGAGGATGCCCCGTGGGTGACGTGAAAGGTCCCTCCGCTGTTTGCAACTTGCGGACATTGGACCTGGTTTGGGACTTCCCAGCTGATTATTTATATTGCATTTTGGAAGGGGTTGTTTGCCAATTGATGGAATTGGGGCTCAGCTCCACAGGAAAGCCATGGTATATAGGAAACAGGATTGGTGTGCTAAATGACCACATCATAAAAATTCATCCTCCCAGATTCTTCACCAGATGGCCGAGATCACTTTTTGAGAGGTCTTTCTGGAAAGCCACTGAATGGAAATATTGGCTTTTATATTACGGAGTGCCTTGTCTTGAAAACATTTTGCCACATAAGTACCTGCTCCACTTTTCTTTGCTTGAGCACAGCACCTATTCGCTGTTGAAAGCAAGCATAAAACAATGGAAAAACTCGCATGCCAATAGTTTGTTAAATCCGTTTGTGCAAAACATACAGAAATTGTATGGTGAGAACACTTTCACGTTTAATGTGCACCAGCTCGTCCACATTGCAAAATCGGTTAAAATGACAGGGCCACTTTGGGCAACTTCTACATTTCCTTTTGAAGGGCGTAATAGTGATCTTCTGAAGCGCGTGTCTGCTGCCAAAGGTGTGCCTCAGCAAATAGCCGAGCGATGTATCATGCCGAAAATGTTCAAGTCACTTGAACGCATTGTGTTTCTCCCACCTGTTTCGAAAAAGAAGCAGCTAATCATTTCCGGTAAAAAAATTGCGAACCGTTCTGTTTCAGCTGTTATTGGTGCACCTTCGCCTTCATGTCGTCTAGAAATTGCTGTAAGTAGCTTGTTAATTTCAATGGGCCCGGTGCCAACCATTGGGCAATACTCCACAGCACAAATTAAAGTGTTTACTGTGCACAGTTCGCACTATAAAAAGGCAGAGAAATCTTGTTCAAAGTACATTGAAACTTGCGATGGAAGGCTTTGCAAAATAGTGAACGTCCTCCTTTCCATAATTGGTGTCGTAGCACTGCTGTGTCAGGAGCTGATGTATACCGAGAGTATTATTCCCTCTCTCTATGAAGTTGAGCATCCTCCACCTGATGTTGGGTTGTGTTTGGTACAAGCAGAAAGCATTTCTTCAGTTTGCGTCTATGTGGAGCAAAATGGAAAGTCATTCATTGCGAAGATTCCCAATTTGCATGAAAGAGATTAAGTTCCTTGTTTCAGAAACAAAGCAAGCTTCATGATTGTGTTTTAGTGAGGTGAAGTAGCAACATAGAGAAGCGGAGAGCTAAGCTAGCCGGTGGGCATTCATGGTAAAATACTGCGTGTGTAAACATGTACACAAGAGAGAAGTCAAAGAAACCACAAGTGCTAATTTTTTTACAGTGACAGCTGTTATGAGATCACAAGAAGAAACCGATTCAGGCGCCGTAATTTTCCGCGCCTGCTGGTGTCTGTAACCACTATAGCAAGAAAAGACATAAATAAAAATAAATAAAAATCATGGAGCGGACGCTTTGAGTGGCCACCGGAGAAGAGTACACGCCGGTTGCGTCCGCCGCTGCCGCCAGAGAAGGCGCGAGCATGCCAACCTTGCTGAGCAACCTTCTAAAACTGCCGTTGACAGAGTGGGGTTTGAGCCAGGGACTCCTGCATTGTCAGCCCAGTGTTTTACCACTGAGCTACGTCCATTCTCGAAATTTCTTTGCAAACATACCATATGCAGGCTTCATGTCGGGTGAGGAATCGCAAGAACATGAGTACTAGATTGTTCTAGAGAAATAAAATCGTAACCCGGTATCAAAAAAAGCGATTTGCGTTACAAGTGGTTTGTTGAAAGCCCCCAACTCGTTACAGAACGATTCACTTATGATTCTTCATCGTCGTCAGCCACCGCATCATGAACATAACACCTTACAGCTGTGTAGTGTGCACGTCGCTTCACCACAGAATATCAAATAATGGCATAGCGGGTGCTTTCCTAATTGACACAAAAGAGAAGCGTCATAGTGTAATAGGTGCCATGCAAATGTACTCCAGGAATACAAAAATCTTCTTTTCCAGCTTGCACTGTGACTGTGCTGCGCATTTAGTGCAGGCTCTAACATAAAATGTTTGAAATGTGTAGGGCACTAACATAAAATGTGTTTAACGGTATTTCATGGTAGGTTTGTGTCCTGTAGTCTGCAATTTCTAACAAATTAGGTGGTACAATTTAGTCTGTCAGTTCAGCAGCCTGAAATCAAATTGCTGTGCTCAACTATTGCTTTGAACAACTGTTTCCATTTACCTATTTTTTACTAATGTGTTCATCGGTTGCAGAGCCTGTATATGTACTGGCTTTTTTGCGCCAAAAACACCAGTAAAAAATCACAAATGACTTTTATCACTGTTCTTAAAATATGTCATTTCATGGTCATTTGATGAATTACTTCAATAAGTGTTGAATGGGCCTTTTACAACTACTTATTGCTATCCCGAAAGCCGTGTGATGTGAAGTGTTCACAAGTGATTTTGTCCGGGAATGCTGATTTTATCTGTTATTTTCTACATATAGCTCTGATTAGGTATCCGATTGTGTGGTGGTTGTGTACTGATTACGAATTGTTCGCTCATCACTGTGTCATTATTGCCAAATCGAAGCATTTCTGCATGCTTAAAGTGCATAGCTGCAGGAATATGGTGCTTTAAGAAACATTCATTGTCATATGTTTTTCGCTATTTCCATTTCTACTTTAAATAAGAGTTCATATCTGCCTCTCTGATATCGTAGGTACAGTGTGTTATGTGTTGCCTGCATGTCGTGTATTACTATGTACCTTTATTGTGCTTCTTCTACTTTGTGCTGAGGAGTATACCAGCTATTTTTAGGGTGCATGCAGAGCTGTTCTTCAATGCAGCTTTCATAAAAAGCTGCATGTTCTGAGTAATTGTATTTCCCTGGAAATATTGTTAATTCAGAGCACCTATTCTTCTGGGTTGTACATGAGTGCAGGGCATTTTCTGTTAGTTCTTCTTTATTTAGACAGATGGTCATCACCGTCACTCAAAATTTGTGTCAATTTGACGTTGAAAAATATTCATCCCTTTAACACCCAATAACATCAATATTTTTCGTGCGTTGAACCTAAACTTTCACACTTGCATCAAATGAAGTGTTATAGACAAATTAGTTCACAAGTAATAGTTGCGTGACTGTTATACACATTAACTTGGTCAAAGCGGCGCAGTGTGCACTCTAACACAGCCTAAGCTTGTATGTTCTGCACACTGAAACCGACCAACTGTTCTAGTATGCAGAACTGGTGTTCTGCATACTAGAATCAACCGAACCGGTCCGATCTGCACACTAAACCGGTCCAGTCTGCACACTCAACTCACTAGACCGGTCGGTCTGCACACTGCAACCCACTAAACTGGCCTGGTCTGCACACTACAATCCACTAAAACAGTCCGGTCTGCAAACTACAACCCATTAAACTGGTCCGGTCTGCACACTACAACCCACTAAACTGATTCGGCCTGCACACTAAACCCACTAAACCAGTCTGGTGTGCAAACTACAACCCACTAAACCGGTCTAGTGTTAACACTAAAAACACTAAACCACACTAAACCAGGCTAATGTATTTTTCGACTTGGTTCTACCTGGTCTCGAATAACAGTTCTGACTGTCTCAGTTTTTTATTATAGCTGAACTATCTCTGTGAAGAAACGCTTCACATTCGTGTTATATCAATTCCAAAACAAAAGGATCAGCGACGTGTTTATGCAATTTTCGTTCAAATGCCTCAATGGTAACTTTCTGCCAGTAACCGTTTGGAATTCCTAAGGAAACCTTGGTTTTACTCTTGATACTGCAGACAAACTTGGCAAGCTTACATTTTGAAATATTTTGCTAAGGTTTATGCAGGTGCTGTCATAGATTTCGAAGTGAATTTTTCTTATTACTGATAGCTAATGGCAGCAAACGCAAGGAGAACATATAAGTGAACAATGAAGAGCGCCTACAAGAGCAGCTGAATAAAATTAGTACTTGCTTGGTCTAGGGTTCGGGCATCCTACCACGCAACATTCCTAGGCTGACGAAGTCCCATTGTCGTCACACTTGCAAGACTACTGGCTCGGATGGAATCAGTTGAGTGGCTGCATAGGCAGCGTGGCTTCATCAGCGGCAATTTGAAGAATATCTATCACTTTTTTCTGCATAATATCCTTTATATATATATATATATATATATATATATATATATATATATATATATATATATATATATATATATATATATATATATATATATCCCTTCTTGTTGCTGGCCTTCCGCAATCATCAGCAGCTTTTTGTATTTTGGCGTCCATTGATTGAACTAAATTTTATGAAAGTTGACGCCACAGTCCTAATTTTCTAGAACCCTTTGCCTACTGTCTACCTCAGTGTTACCAATAAAGAACAGTGTTAGTCTGTGTAGACGTTTTGAAAACCTCCGGGATCTCGAAGTTTAGAACGCTAAATTCAAGAACATTACTTGCCACCTGAACTTCATATTTTTTCGTGTTTTCTTACTTAAATAGTGTGTTCTCCTAGTAGCTAGAGAGTAATGTAGTAGCACAATAAAAGTCATTTTTTCTTTACTGTCTAGTTAAACAAGGCGAGATGGGGAAACCAATCAAAGCCCTTTACTTTGATGTCCCTCCTCGCCTGAATGGCTGAGACATACTACACTTCATAATCTGAAGCAACCAGAGTAGTTCACTTTCATCACTTTATTTCCAGCGTAAGCAGGTTTGGGAACTTCTCTATGTAGCCAAAGCCTTGGATTAGGGTTGCTTTCATTCACTTCTTAACGGGAACCATTCTGCCAGCTCCGACGCCACCTCCTAGAGCAGAAGCTTCGTTAATCAGCACAGCTGTAAGCAAATAACAGGAAATGATTCCAATGTTGTCAATGTGCACCTCATAGTTAGACAGCGGCCACTGTAAAAGAAAGAGTTCCAGACCCATAATTGTAACTTTTGAAATCAAAGTGTAATACTTTTTTCAAGGTGTTGATTTACCGTAAGTAATATGCTGCACAAAGAAAACATCGTTAGCAGCCACTGTTTTTTACATACTTTGCTTGTGTTTGAGGGAGTAAAATATTCAGAAGCTCTTATAATACTTCACAGACACACGAATATACGAATTACTGTTTGTTTCTTATTGATGACACCAAACATTCCCTTGAACATATGGTATCACTATACTGAAGCTGGTATCGCCCACCAAGCAAGTGAATAACTGCGGGAACGCAGACGCTTTCTCGACGTCGTTTACTTAGTAAGGATTTTCTTCATACACTTCAGAATCTGCAGTTAAGGAGGTGCGTAGTGCCGCCTGTCGGGGAAGTAGCGGTAGCTGCTAAATCCACCTCCCTTGTACAATTTTGCTGCTTAACCAGGTGCACCCAGCGAGTGTGACAGAACGATTTACCTAATATTCCATGTTTTGCTCATTCAGCATACACAAGGAGAAGTTTTATTTCTCTCCGATAGTCGTAAGAGCTACACAACCACGGTGAAGTGTTTTTTTGGATATTTTACTAGAACAATATCAAAAGGAAAATCAAACGGTGCAGGTTCGCGTACTACACGAGAGCGCCGCAGTGATTCCGCAGTGATGTTGAGAATTGGCATGGACGTAAATGACTGAACAGCACTACTTAGTTTCACGAATAGCCATAGCTTTCATACAAAGCGAAAAGCCAAGATGGCTGCATCAGGACCCTTTAACGTGTTGGGGGAACCAATTACTCCTATTTCCCGTAGCCGGTCACATGAGAAAGTGTGACAATACGACTCTGCTGCTATTATTTAGCCTAGCCCTGGCATAGAACCATATCATACTTGATAAGGGGCTCAGACAAATATCTGGCTACAGTGTGCATAGTGTAACGCTGAGTGACCAGCTAGAGGCAGAATAAAGAAGCGTTATAAACATATCACACACCACCACCTCTCAAGATGTCAAAGATAAATCACGTACGTTTTCAAGGCCCGATGCTCCGGTTTTAACAAATAAATTCTGTCATGTGCATGATGGAAGTAAATCGCAAAGTGTTGGAAACCTTAGGTTGTAGCACGCATCATTGGACGGGTGCAAATTTCCAAGTTACTACATACAACTCCAAGGCAACCGCTAGCAGATCACTCCAAGATGCCTTTGAAAAAGTTGGAACACATAGAAAACTGGAGTTAAATAAAGTGAGCGGCGTACCACAGGTAGTAAGGTTTGTGGCTAAAAATACTGATCGTGTGTGTACTTATGCGCTTATAAAGTTATGTGTATTGGCAATTTTACCGCATGAGGGCGCCCGAAAACGGGCGCACGTGAATCGCCTCAGACTCGATTTCGTGCGAAACTTGCTTGTACTTGCGAGTTGTAGCCCGTTGAAATAACTCAACATCATTTACATTCTACCAGCCCTTCACTTTGAGATGATTCCTACTTTTTTGAATCGCTGTCTGGCGAAAGGTGTTTGCGAAATCCTTCATAAAAGAACGTGAAATTTTTATAGTGACCGACGCACTAGCGTTCACGAATGGCTCTTTTTTTTCCTGCACATCCACAGTGCTGTGATGAGGCTGGTCGTGGCAGCACCACCTCAGCAGAGTATGACGTCAAGACAGCTCAATGCTATTTTCTGAAATTTGCGCAGATAATATAATGCTCTAATTGCCAAATACATTTCGTGTGTGGTATTCACGATTACCTAGTGCGATGGCAACCCACACGAGGGCGTTGACTCCAGCCAGACCGTTCATTTTGAATTGGCTGCAAATACACAAGAAATAGTGACTTCAGTAAAACACCACAGCCTGTCGTATCTTGCAACTTTTACTCAGAAAAATCAGTTGTCTTACTTTTTTCCCATAATGCTTAGCAATGGCAAGCAGTTTTAGTTACTTCTGTGAAATTGCATATCGTTACACTTTGTTCGAGTGAGTCTTGCCTGGCTGCCAGCACTACTGCTTCGTGAAGATCTTGTAGAGTTGTACACCTATATAAATGCTTATGCATGTGTTTGAAAATTAATTTAAATGTATATAAACAAAGTGTGCTTTATCACTATGATTTGATCGGCTGTTTTATAAGGAGCCGGGGTAAGAAGGCTCTAGTTTATTTTAGGTGCAGTGCACTGTTAAGGCGGAAACTAAGATGTTCTTTTGAGTCCGTATCACACCACAAGTTTGAAACCAACACAGATAAATTGAACTCTTGCATATGTCTACCAGAGGCTTCGTAGAATATGATCTTTTTTCACTAGTTGCGACGTTATAAGTGCCAACAAAAAACTCTCTGGGTTTTAAATGTATTTCACACTTCACAGAAATGAATCAGCTAAGCATTTTTCCATTCTAATCAACGTCAAGCACTGTAGCGTGGCACGAGTGCGCAAAAAAGTTTTTGCCAAAGATGCCGCAGTTGCAGCCCGCCAAAAAAGTACATACAACTAGTGGTGAAATTGCTTTTATTGAAACCCTTTTTTTAGGGTGGCTTCAGAACCACCATGTAAGAGCAGTCCTAGGAGACAATCTAAGAAGAAGGTATGCTGGTAAGTGCAGTAAGTGTGGAAGCAGTTCGTGAGCAGAATAACTATAATAAACACGCTTGATGGCAAAACTTACACTTCAGTCCATTAGTATCGGATAACTACGAATCACGATTCTTGGAGCGCTGAAGCTGTTTCACGAAATATATTTCTTTAGATACCCATCGGAAATACTCGACATTTTCCTGAAAGAACTTCTGTCTGTATAATGATGTAATAAAATGTAAAAATCTAAGCACATGTGTTAATGATAAAGTCATGTATATAAAATAAGGATTATGGGTCCCGTTTCTCTCTCATATTTCAAGTATAAATTTTATGCATAGCCTTCTTTAAGTGAATGCATACTCACCAAGGTTTCTTGTTAAAGACTGAATAGGTAGTTCTGGTACAATCCTGCTCTTGTCTGCAGTGTTTATATACTACACCAGCCATCGTAATACGCCATCCGAGTAGGTATAAAGGAATACAAATGATTAAAATTAATATGGAAGCAGAGTGACAGGCAATTTGGTCGGTGAAAATGTTCATCTGGTCACAATAAAAAAAAACGGCGCAATTTAGAGGCCTCGCCAAATAATTCAAAACTTTGTTTTGGTCTGCAAACAACAGAACGGCATGATAAATTGACCTTTCTTTATGATGCAACTTTAATTAAAAGTCCATTTTAATTGAAATGTAAACTTGCAAGGTTTCATTAGGCTTGTGTCAAACCAATCAAACACAATATTGTGAATACTCCATTGAAAGACGTTGTTAATTTATTATTATAAACATTGTGAATCATTGGGACATCATAATAATCCTTATGGCACACTGGTTATGCTTACTACTGAGATTACATTGTTTACTTATTTCCTGGAATCCTGGCAAGAAAAAGAAAAAGTTATGAGACATATATATATATATATATATATATATAAATATATATATATATATATATATCAAATTTTTATTTTTAAATCACGAGCTCGCACGCTAAAACAATATCTTTTTACACGTGTATCAGGTGCTCTTTAAAGCCGGTGACATGTATTTCTGTTTGCCCATATATCGCTTTTATGCCAGTTCTCATTAGCTTATCTCATTGATATGCAGATGAATATCAACAGCACGATTGCCATCATGCTCTGCTGTATTCTGATGAAAGCCTGATCTACTTTTACTATTTCGATGGAGGCGGAAATGTTGTAGGCCCGTGTGCTAAGATTTCGGTGCACGTTAAAGAACCCCAGGTGGTCAAAATTTCCGGAGCCCTCCACTACGACGTCTCTCATAATCATATGGTGGTTTTAAGACGTTAAATCCCACATATCAGTCAATCTACTATTAAAACTGCATAATTATATATATATATATAATATATATATATATATAATATGTATATATATATATATATATATATGATGACGAAGGCCGTGTCACGGCCGAAACGTTAGCAAATACGATCCTTTTCTTATGTGCTATCTTCAAGTTATTTCAATATATATATATATATATATATATATATATATATATATATATATATATATATATATATATATATACGCTTACACAGGACATTAGTGTGTAAGTAGTCTAATGTATCAAGTTAATTCAAGAAATTCCAGTGCCACAACACGCAGTAGCATTTCTTGAAACATATCTGTAAGATTCTATGGCAGGTGTTATTGGGAGATAGTGGTGCCATATACGATCGAAGCAACAACTGCTATTTCGATCTTCTCTTAGCAATAAACGGGTGCCGAGAGTGCAGCGCAATATTTTCAATTATGCCTTCATTCAATCAATCAATCAATTATTCCATAAAATGTTATTTTTTCCTGAACATACATTCGCGCTAGAATAGTTGACAAAAAAAAAAAGCCGTGCAATTGAAACTTGAGAAACCTCCGGGAACGCATAGGATAAGACAGCATAGTGCACTTCATCTGAAGAGTAAAAAGGAAAAAAAACAGTAAAAAGGGCAACTACATAGCAAGTGTGTCCCTCTCACATGTTGGTTCGGGGGGGGGGGGGGGCAAAAGACTTTCATGGTGTATCATCTAGGTACCACGGTAGTGTCGCGACAAGACAGGTCACAGTGGTAGTCAGCTTAACCATTAAACTAGGGCAATGTCATATTGTTCACTGCAGTGAGAACCTTTCGAACCTGTAAATTTTGCTTAAACTATAATCTGACGGAAATATATTATCGATATGACTAAGGTTTCCATATTTCACTTTTTAAATAGTTACGTTGCTAAATGTGCTCAAGAACTCATAAATAGATGCGCGAAGTGGTATTAGAAGCCACCTATTAAACAGCTGCTTAATTTTTTAACATACTTGCTATACTAGTGGTCACAGATCTGCTGCGTGTACTTCGTGGTGACTGTAGCAGCACTGCATGCAACCTAAAAACAAAAATTATAAATTTTTCTTCCGTGCAAATTGTTCATCACTGATCACGTAAAATCTTGTGTCCCATAAAATTGATTTTAGTGGTGTTTTTATCAATGAAAAACCATTGCTACAATTTTTCGTCTAACATATGCAGAGAAATCGCCCTTCCTAAACCCTGTATTTATGATGATAATACTCCTTTTCTGCTGTCACATTGTTTGCTTAGTGTACAATTTCTTGTGTAGCTTAAGACCTGTAGTTACCTGTTTGTAAACTTTCACAAAGCTGTTGCAATGAACCATGCCTAGCCCGGACAGGCATGCAAATGTTACGTCACAACACTAACATTTTTTCCTAGTACGACAGTGACTAAATGTACCATCCCACCCCATAAAATGCACGTTTATAAATATAAACAAGAAAGTATGCGAACAAATAACACACACAGCTTCCGAAGCTGTACCAAATTATAATTCGACCGTCGATACAGCTTGTGCAAGTCGATAAGTCGATACAAGCTTGTGCAAGCAACAACAACAACTAAAGATTTCAAGGTTTTGTGCATATTCATGATCAAATATATGCAACACACCAGTTACGTACTTCGAGTAAGTAACCTACAGCATCTGTTTTTGCTATGCATGCATGATATATGCTTTCATTGGTGTATTTCAGGAGCACAGACTACGCCAATATAATTTTTTTCCCGATACCACCTTTGGTATCATTGCATAGTCTCTAAAACATGTGCTTTGAGAAACGAAAATTAGACAACCACACGTTCGGGGCACGACGCACCAAGCAAAACTGAACGAACTTCGCAGAATTAAAAGCTTCTTAGTTGCCGAAAAATCCCTCCTTTATTGTCGCAATGCGCGTATGACATAGGATTCTATTGGTACAAATCAGGAACACAGAATACAGTAAAAACAAATTTTTGCAGCGAAAGCTGTTATGACATTACAACACTGGTCACGTGTGGTCCGCCGCCGCCAGTGTGCGTAACCACTATCACACTAAATACAAAAAATGTCTGTAAATAAAAAAACACAAGCACACAATCGCATTAGAACCCACGTCGCCTGAGTGCCAGGGCAATATTCTACCACAGAGTCACACCAGTGTTTGGAATTCTCTTGAAAATTGGCCATTGGCAGGCTCGATGTCGAAAAAGGAATCGTGTTATATGCGCAATAAAACGTAAGACCTAAGCAAAGGAACAACCACAGGTCAGACAATGCGAATAGCGCATCGAGCGAGCCATCAAATGCTCCAACGTTTTACAAAAGCTTCAACTTGTTCACCTATGAACAATGGCGCATGCCCACTGTGAGAGATTGTGGGGAATACTTCTGGCATAACTATTCATCGTCGTCAGCCACAGCACACATTAATTACTCAAAGTTCCTTGCAACTGTACAGCAAGTACCAGGCTTCTTCAAAGAATGACGAAGAATGGCATGATGAATACCTGCCTGCTGCACAATAAATAATGGAGCAGTGTATACCTTGCATGTGTGCTTGCAGAAGCCACCCGAAAAGCGTTAAAAAGGCTCTCAGAGGCACTTCTAGCTTTTCTTGAAGCAGTGCGCGTTCAGCGCAAGCCTGGCGTTTTTTTTTTACAATGCAGCTTTTCAAATCAACGGCTACTGAGTAAAATCTGCACTTCAAAGACTCATTCACACCTAAGGCGACACGGTAAAACGGCGAAGCGGAATTTCTGAAGCGGCGAGGCGGCGAGTGCGTGAACCTGTTCAGACCACATGCCTCCTTCGTCTGGCTGCGCGGGAGAAGAGGCGGGCATCTCGCGATTCTGCGCACGTGTCGTTATGAAATGTCAGTGCTTCTCTCTAACACACACCCGCGCCACCACCGCGCGTCCACTGCGTGGCGCTCTGGTTGGCAGCGGCAAAGTGGCAAGCCTCGGCAGGCGGTAGAAAATTGCTGCGAGAGCGATCGGCCTTGCCGTCTGGTTTTTCTCGCGCTTTCGCTGCCTGCAGAGGAGATTTTTCCTGCTTCCCGCATTGCCGCCTCACCGCTTTCGCTGCCCCGCCTTCGGTGTCAACGAGCCTTTAGAAATAGAAATAAACAAACACTACTTTACGGCACGAAGCCACAAGAAAATCAGTACGTGTTCTTAAAAAACAAAAGCTTCTTAGTTGCCGAAAAACTTGTCTTGGTCCGGGAATTCCAACATCCACTAATGCCTTACTGGAGCATTCGCTCTACGAACTGAGCTAACCAGAAAGCTTAAAATTGGCAGTGCGAAGACGAATCGATTGACAACCTGAAGAAGATGGACACAAGTTAACCTGCACCTTGAATGTTTAGCAACATTGCGCGATCCAAACAAGGACGAAGCAAAAAATTTAACAAATGAGCGCGAACAGTCGTTCGAATCTCTATAGGCGAGCTAGCAGTTCTTGTGCACCTTGAATACGTTTTATTATGATTGTTACGATCGAAAATGGTTATCGGGACGTAATTTGCGTACCTATCGGGCAACACAGTGCTAAAGTTCATAGTAGTAACGGAAGAACTGCACCGACTAAAACAACTCGGCAAAGGTTGTTTACTTATGAGTGCAATAACTAAAGACATCGGCAATAACTGCAGGTCTATCACCTACCGTCACAGCTGCAAGAGGGTGTACTGCACATTAGCGTACAATGAGCCCCTGGCCGCTGTGATAGCTCAGTGGTTAGAGCATCGAACGCGTTATTCGAATGAGCCCCTGAAGACTCCAAGATTGTCAAATGTCGGCACTTGACTTGTAGCAAGCTGTTTCGTCCTCGATGTGTAAACGACGACAGCCATGAGTAAACACGGGAAGTTGATATTTTTATTTCTTGGGCCATTGTAGCAGAAGCATTAGGAGTGCATCTGGAATATGTTATATCCTCTTCAACTCTATATCTAACGTTACCTTGTATTTCGTAGGTTAATGTTAATGGAGTGTTAATGCAGGCTGGTTACAGGGTTAAACACATAGGGATGCCAGGGCTAGGCATTGACTTAAAGAATGGACTGACAAACGCTATTGTTTCTTTCTGTGT